TTTCAAATATTTTTTCGTATTGTTCAAAATTTGTATAATATATAATGTATATAGAATGCTATATATTAAGATACAAGCCCTGTTTACTCACTGAAAGCCTTAAACTACAATAGTTGTGCGATGACCAACGGAAATAGGCAGAGAGCTCGCTACAAAATTTTAAATACTAACATTTTTTTTTATAATCCAATCAAACTTATGTGTATATTGTGCAACTTATAACTCAATTCGTTCATAATTATAACTCAAACTAAGGCTCAAGTCAAATATAACTTAAAAATACAAAAATTGTGTCCTACTCACAATCTTATTTTACTTGAAGATCATTTCATCTAATATTATTTAACATTTTTATCAAGAAAGCTTTAAAATCAAAGATAAAATAACAATATCCAAGTCAATGGTCCGCTTAGTTATAAAATTTCGAAAATAGTCATTCTTATATGTAATTAAATAGCAAAATCATTATATTACTTGTTTAGATCAAGACACAGCGCAGCCAAAATCATATTATATGTACGTGAAACGCCTTACTTTACAATTGGTACAATAAATTTAGATACTATTTTAATATAAATATTTTTATTTATAAATCAACTTCGTGCTATCTATAACGTTTTTATTGCATTTGATGCGATGCAAAGTTATTTTTTAATTCATATGTATTTTTTCGTATTTTGTAATTACATTTCTTATGGGAGTAGATTATGTCGGTCCACCTTGTTATTTCAAACCTCATAGTGAATATTTTTAATTTTCAACGTAATGTAATTTTCAACGTAACAATAAAAATCAACACTAAGGTAATCGGTCTTATATGTTAACGATCTCGACATATGCAAAGGCAGTCAAATATCAATATGCATGGTGAACGGTGGCAAGATATGGTTATACTCGTCGACCCTTAAACCGTTTACCGATTGTTATATAAAAGTATGTACGACAGTCGGGAATAAGTCTACGTGTCTGTCCCGTAATTTAATATTATTTTGTAATACTGAGTATAACATAATTTACATTATCTTTTGCTCAATAGATACATTACAGTTCGCGACCACGCGTATATATTTATGTACAACTAGCATTGCCCGCGGCTCCGCCCGCGTTCAGGTGACCAAAAACTAAATTCTTAGGTGTTACATATTAGTATACTCTTACATTGCAGTTTTTGTATTTTTCCTCAGAAATAAGATATTTTCCCGCGGTAAAAAGTATCCTAGGATCGCGCGCTACATCGCCCGGTTTATATAGCTTAAGCAGGCGGTCGAGCGATGCGGGGCAGAGGGGATGGACTCGCCGTAGGCATCTCAATGCTCGCCAAGCATTAAAAATGTTTCGCTACTAATTACTTCTAACAACGATATCTCAAAAACTATTCATCTGATTGATTTAGTGTAAAGAGCAATTTTAATCTGCATTAAATGACTAAGCTAACTAAAATATTCATTTGGATAAGGATTAATACCGAACTAAAGAAAATAACTTTGAAAATAACGTAATGTTTTTAATTAAAAATGTTAACATAAAAGTGGTTATTGTAAGTCAACCGTAAGAGATAGAGATATGCTATCGCGGACTTTTTTGTAGCATTTTTATAGATTTTGAATTCTCTAGTACATTACTTAACTGTATCTTTGCTAGTTTACGCGGCGTTCGCGTGGAAAGTTCCCATTTGGCGAGATTTTTTGCGACCTCTTCAACATTTGTCGCCGTATTTCAGCTAATTTACATAAAAGCATAATAAATTATATACCTAAACCTTCCTCAAGAATTACTCTTTCTATTGTTGAAAACCGTATAAAAATCCGTTCAGTAGTTTTCGAGTTTATCGCGTACAGACAGACAGGAGGACAGACAGGAGGACAGAAAGACGCGGCCGGGGGACTTATTTTTATAATAAGTATAGATTGTACATGTGTATAGCGTGTCGCTGCGAATTCAGCTGTCTTAGATAACTGACAGTTGTAAAAGTTCAAAATTTGGTTATAATAAATTAAACTATTAGGCTAATAAGAGCCGATATGTTAAACAATTGAACTGAAATAATACTTTGTTGAATGATGTTACTTTAGAAACAACAAATAAAATTAAAAATTTTAACAATAAATCTGATCGTTTTCATTTAGTGCCTACATAAAAAAAAAACAAATTTATTAACAGGTAAATTACACATTTTCAAACAAAGAGCTATAAAGGTATAATAGCATACAATTTCGATTCAACGTTTTATAAAATTATATTCTTAATCTAAAATAGTACAGGTACATAGTCAGAGAGGAAGCTGTAAAAATGTTAACTATAACGAAATTTTTTTATTATTTCAACAACATATTATAAAGTAATTAATTAATATTGTTATTACAGATTTGTAAATGGACAGGTAATATTTGATCGACAAGTAGTATAGACTAGCTATTTCCAGCGGCTCTCCATACTTTGCTATTTAATTTAAAAGAGATAACATCATGTATACAATGTTTTTTATATATAAAATTATAAATATTTTAAATTGGATACTAGAAAAAAGACAGTGGTAGCCCAGTGGTAACGCGCTCGCTTGGGAAACCAGTGAAGTGGATTCAAATCCCGTGTCTCGCACCTCTGCTATTTTCATGTGCAATTCATTTCCAACATGCTTACCACTTGCCTTACGGTGAAGGAAAATATTGTGAAAAAACTTGCATGTCTGAGAGAAACTAGCAAGTTTTTGAAAGATATGTGAAGTCCGCCAACGTGCACTTGGCCAGTGTGGCGGACTATGGCCTGATAGCTCCCTCTATTGAATGTAGGCCCACGCCGAGCAGTGGGACGTTAAAAAAAGGGCTGAATACATACAATAGAAAAAATGAATAAAATAAATTTTCAGATGAAAAATTACCAATTCTCTCGCATTATAAGGACATGTAGTGGAAAACCATGTAATGCATACATACGGCCCCAAATCGGTTTCCAATAGAATAGATTACAAACATTTCATTGGTAACTATCTAATCTTAATGTCTATCTGATATTATAAGGACTATATTTATTTATACACATATAAAAATAATGTGACACCAAGAATGTAAGAAAGTGCTGATGATATGTGTTCTAGTGATTTAGTAACTGTTGATATAAAAAATTATTAATGCTAAAATATGTATTTACATAGTTATAACTAATATGCGTTTAAAATTCTTATTAATACATAGAAAGAAAAACGCTTGTTATGTCTCATTTTGTAACATAAATTAATTATATGAAGGAAATTTTAGTAATTGATGAGTTTTATAAAAATTGATTGATTGTTAAAGTGAAGATAAATGTATGAGTATAGGGTTTGTAATTTAAATTTATTAGCATTAGTAGCCCATTGGTAATGTGTTAGCTTGAAAAACCAAGTGATGTGGGTTTTCTCTAACCTAACCTAACATGATCACCACTTTGAATTGTATTCCTTCAAAACCTTAAACAAGAAGCAAGAGTGTAACTGTTTATATTTACAATAAAGAGAAACAAAATCAAAGCAACGTAAATATAGAGATTAAAAAAGGCACCCAAAATATGTCAGTTGTGTAACATATACTCGTTAAAAGAACATGATTATCACTCGCTTATACGATGAATGAAATTATAATTAGAAAACCTGTGTCTAAGAAAATCTAGCTAGTTCTTGAAAGGCTTGTAAAATTTGCCAAACCACATTTGGCCAGCGCGATGGTCTATGGCCTACGGCCTATGCCTAGCAGTGGGATGTCAAAAGGGGCAGAATTTTATATTTTAATTTAAATTTTGATTATTATGTTTACTTATTTTATAAGTCATTCGGAAGCGTCGTTCATGGAATATTTTATTATTTCAATTAAACATTGCGTATACTCATAATGATGTTGGCTTAATTTGTGGCTGACACTAATTAGTTAGTGTCTTCAAGCGCTTAATATGACAAGCCTGAAAGTGACATGTTAGAATAATATTTTCTCTGTACACATGGTGTTGACATGTATGGCTTATTTATGTACATATGTATATTATTTAATTTTCATTGGGGGTAGTAGATAAACTTATTTAATGTACATACATAATTAATTATTTTTAATTTTTGTTCATTTATATTACTAAAAAGATTTTTAGATTTTTTATTTTAAGACAGCATTATATTTTGTTTAAACTCTGTTATTTTTGTCTCTTTATATTTTAAAATTAAGGTATAAAACAGTAAAAAAAAAAAGAATAACGAACATTATTTGAATTATGTTACATAAACAAGCGTTTTTCTCAACGGTCTCTTGGACTTGTCGTATTCTATACCTAAATATATTATGGCTTTGACTAGTCTCAACATAATACACATGACTAGAATGATTATATACTGTCGATAAGTATTAGAAGCTGAATATGTAAGCACTACGTCAGTTATCTTTTAATATGTGGCTATCTAATGCACATAGATAATTTGGTTACACCATTCTATAACAACTGTCACTATATTAAATAAATTGTTCCAATAGATTCACTACTTGCGGCCCTCGGTCACGGACTTTTTTATACACTGCCAATTTTAAATTTGCTCAATTTTTAAGAATTTGTGAAATATCTATAAACAAAGATTGATATGAAAATATTTCTAATTTTATTTTTTATTATTTTGACAGTTTCGGACGTAAGAATGTCGTTAAAGATCTCAATTCTATGTGTTAAATATTTAGTTATATTTTAGTCAATGCCAAATAAGCAAGCTACACAACATTAAGATGAAATTATTAAGGAGCTTTGGTAAAGATGACAGAATGGCGATATTAAATCTTGACTTATCACGCACGGCCTTTCACATTTATTTTAATGATTGAAAAGAATTATTTTATATGGCGAAATAAAAATACTAATATTGAAACAGAAGGTACGTTTTCGATTACATTGACATGATTTAGATCTAACATAGCAAGTGATACTTAGTTCTATTGGTCTTTGACTAAATTAACATCAATAATAATATATATTACATTACATATTCTTTGTTATGTAGACGCTGATGATTTCCGTTTTTCAACTTTAGTATCTCGTAACTTAGTTTCATCTAGGGATTCAATTTTGTGATCTCTAAGCAAAGGCGTCCTTGCGTCCGTCTTATCTTCAAGTTTATCTATGAATTGCTTATTATTGTAATTATTAGTTTTAACGGTATTGTCGCTTTCTAAAGACTCTTGTCGGTTAGATTTGTTTTTTTCTTTATTTTCATCAGGTTTTTCTGTGTATCCCATATTATCAAAGCACTGTACAGGGACAATGTTGACTGATTTCATCATTGGAAGAGCTATAGCGAGTGCAGGGCTCATGTCTCGTGGGCTTGGTGTGAGACGAGTCGCCACAGTTAAGTCCATTCCCGGCATTAGGCTTGCGACTGTGAAATAAAGCGTGTTAAAATCTGCTCAATATTGTTTAAGTTCAATTTTAATATTTAGTACAATAAACAGAGGTTAATGATCACATGCAAACATGTACACAAAAATTCACATCCATATATAGAGAAAGAAAATTTTCCAACCACAATTTTGCACTAAGACATGTAAAGCTTTATGAATAATTTTACACCATACCCATTTTACCACAAAGACAACAAAACGATGACACTTCCACTCAGCAACGAGAACAAATGTACATGTATAATACAAAAATGTAGCATTTATGAACAAATAACTGTAAGTGTTGAACATTTTAATGAAAACTATCGCGTGTCTCGAAAATGGGAATTTCCAATAGCGTGTAAAAAGTATATTCTTAAAGGAGAATAAAGACTTAAGTTTTTGTTAAAAACGAAATAATATCTTCTTAAAATTTCAAATCTTCAATAGATTTAGATGTTTTATTTACCGTTTCATAATAAGATTGTTAGCGAGAGAATTGTTTTGATCGTATCATTATTTAAATTAAGATAAATCTTTAGAAATGAGAAAAAAAGCTAGAACTTTCTCGTTCTTTGTAAACCTTTTTAATTTATACCATTAAACCGCGATAGCATTCATTGCAAGATATAATTTATTAGTATTCGCATAATGATTGTGTTATGTTACATAAGTACTCACTTTATGAACTGTATTCAAAATATTTACAAATATTAAATGTAATAATTTTATATGGAAAAACCAATTTAATTTAAAGCTTGTGTATTTTATATAATAACGTACGTAATACGTTTTAATGCCTGTATTTATTTTTAGGAATCATAGACCTAGTTCCTTTGTCTAATAAAATAGATAAATATATAATTGCAAATTGCATTTACTTTTGCAAAGTCATAAGAGATTTTGTTCACTTATAACAGTTCTTATAGTAAGTACCGTTTCAATCATGTTTTAAACTTGTACCGCCGTGTTGAGTTGTGCCTGGGTTGCCTGTGATGTGGAGTTACTAATAGTTGATATTTGAAGATGATTGCCTGAAATTATGTGATATAAATGTTTTATTACCTTACCCACTACATTTGTAATACGACGAACATAATAATATGTTGAATGTTCATATGTCGATTTTATAGTGAAAGATATCATGCTCTTGGTAAATAATATGGAAAAACCATTCAATACCATGAATTAAAAGTTTTCCAAAAGAATGATATAGGACGTTGAATGTAAGTAAATAGTTGTGTTAGTGTAACGAATTGGAATGAACGAATGTGATACTAAATCTATTCTACGACAGAAGCAGGCGAAGCATAAACTACTTGGTCCCACAACATTAAAATCACCTTCCGCTCTCATCAATTGGCAACGGGACCTATGGATCCGTGATGCTTCTGGTGCAAGTGAACATGGTTAGTGTGTTAAATTAATATATCCGTAAGCTAATTCCATTAGTGCAGGCGATATACTAAGCCCGTTCCGGGGGCCAGCCAGTGTACGCTTTTTAAAGCATGTTTAAATTTTTTCTTTTGCAGTTGTTTGGTGTTGTTTGGATCATAGCCTCAAGCTCGCTACGATCACCATCTGTGGAGGATTACATTGCATAAGCTGTTAGTCTCGTGGTCCTATTCAGTTAAAGAGATATTATTAGCAACGTTTTGTTTTTACTTATGTACACTAGCTTTTCCTTTTATAGTATTTATAATGGTGTGACGTTATCTATTTGTATGTATGTGTACACACACACACACATACATAAATACTTTTATTACTCTTTCATACCGAAATGGCAGGAGAGATTTGGATGAAACTTAATATTACGAAAGATAAACTATGTCTTGCAGTAACACATAGATTACTATTAGTAATAAAATTTGCCAAAAGATGGCGCCTGTATAAATATTGTAGGGCTTTAGGGTCGCATTCAAGCGAAGCTTCGGCAAATCTTTAGTCCGGAATTTTGAAAAATGCGTCAAAGACTAAAATTTGATGAATGTATTCAACGTTAAACATAGTCGTGCCTTTGTATTCAAACAATTGTGAACTTTTAGAAAGTTGGTTATTATTTTATCAGAACATAAAGACTCATTTTAATAATTTTGTAGCGGAACAATACACCGTCCAAAGGTTAAAGTTCACGTAGAAATGGAGCGGCCTATTTTTACGCAAGTCGATATAAGTTTAATTATATTAATAAACCATATATATGATTTGATAAAATAGATTTTTGTTATTATGCCTTAATTGTATTTACTAAAAGTAACCAATATGAAATTACAGTTTTTATACTGTATTTTCGTAGTTAAGATACTATCGTATATAAAAACATACGTACAATTATAAGTAATTTACGTTACTAATAAAGTCCCTTCTAGTCCATTTTCTTTAAAGTCTGTGACAGCTAAGTTAGTTCTATACAGATAAAACATTTTCAGTAAAAAATATTAATTTTATATATGTATTAAAAATAAATATTGTATAGGTATTATATAAATACATGCATATTATATACAGTGTTATGTTTGTCTGTCTAAAGACCTACTATAGACTATAGTTTCATCGCTTTTGCTCCATCTAAGTGTGTATATACACATACGTATTACTGAAAATGTTTTAAATTCTATGAGTAAGTAATTTTACATATATTTTTGTTAGTTTTGTTAACTAGTGATTCGGTTGAGTATTAATTTGTTATGTTATTTGATATTTTGGGTGACCTCAGTTGCCAATTAGTGCCAATTCTCTACTTGTAGCTAAAACAAGATATTATTCTACAATCGATGTAGAAAAGAAATTTTAAAAATTGTATTGAAATTACAAATTAAATCGATATGTCACTTCCATATTTTTTTAGATATCTATTGTATTTCACACTCTGCCTAGTACAGTCGGCAGCAACAAACCGAAGTAAGCAATTTGTAGCTTATATTGCGCTTACTGTAAAGAAATGTAACTTAATATGTTAATAAAGTTTTATTTATTTATGTATTAATGTATGTATTTTACAACTATTGTAGAATAACAACTTGTCTAAATCTTTTTATATAGTTGTTTTCATTTAAGATCAATTTAATTGAAATTTGGTTCTTATTTAACAAATTGAATTTTAAATGTTTCATTATGTATTCCTACTAACTATAAATACAATGTATTGTAAATTTTAATTGCCATTCTTACCCATGTTAGGTCCCATCATATCTTTAGGATGATTTGTTTTTATGGCGTTCATTCTTCTATTGACGGCCTGCTGGCCCATACCTGGTGCGATTTGGCCTGGTTGTCCACCGGGTACTCCTGGAGCTCCTGTTAAAAATCAATTATTTATTCAAATTAATAGCTATAAGACATTTAAGGTTACAAGTAGATATCATAAAATGTGTTGAAAATATAATTGGAAAAAAATTGAAAAGAATTATTTATCTACACTACTATTATAAAGAGGAAAGATTTGTATTTTTGTATGTTTGTAATGTATAAACTCAAATACTACTAAACCGATATAGATGAAATTTGGTAGGAAGATAGTTTAAGATTCTGGAAAGGACAAAATATATTTTTTATTCCGGAAACCATCCCTGAAGGGGGTGAAAATGTGGATGAAAGTTTGTATGGGGAATCAACCTAGGGACGAACCTAAGCGAAGCGAGTGTGAGTCACTAGTTATCAATAAAATTTCACTGACTTCAAAAGCATTTGAAAGTAATTATTTCCTCCTTCCTCCATTAGATGTAGAGTATTTTTTGAAATTTATATCAAACTACCAATGAGGTTAAAATTTTTAATTAAATAAAAATAGTATAATGAAAATTAATCCACGATTGACGAGGATATTGAAGTGACCAATAAAATACATACATATGAATTGACCATTTACGAAATGGGTAAAAAAAAAAACAGAAATTTTAGTTTATTATAATTAGCTTGTATTATTTATATAAATAATGATAAATCACTTTAAATATATAATATAATGTCATAATAAATATCTTATGGGTTTTAAATAATATTTTTTAAGGTTCTAATTTGATTTTTGTTGCCGACATTTCGAACATTTGAAATCAAATTAAAACTGCGATCAAATCTGAGAAAACAATTTCATTTTAAATGTCAAATATTCACATAAATCTGAGACAGTACTTACGCATTGGTGGCCTCGTTGGTTCTACATTAATAACTCTTCGTCTCTTTTTAGGTAGCTTCGCTCTCGCTTGCGTATGAGAGTAGTACATGGCAAAGTTTGAAACTATGACAGGTACTGGTAGGGCTATCGTCAGTACCTATGTTACCAGAGAAGTGGGTTTATATGAATACATATTTGTCTGTTAAATGAATTAATATATACTCTATATTAAAATATAAAAATAAGTAAGATAAACTACTTTCAGATTTTGTGTAATCAGAAAAAGGTAGAGGTAACGCGCTCGCATGACTCCAAGTGCAGCGGGTTCAAATCCCATGCTTAGCACCTCTGATATTGTCATGTGCGAATTATTTTTGTAAAGTACTGATATAATTAAATATATGTCAACTTTACTTACTCCAGCCAATGCGCAAAGTGCACCAACGAACATACCGACGTAAGTCTTCGGAGCCATGTCACCATAACCCACTGTAGTCATGGTGACTAGAGCCCACCACAAACCCAATGGTATACTGTTAAAATCGTTGTGAGGATTTGTTTGTATCCGCTCCGCGTAGTACACGAGGCTTGCAAAAATAACTATACCAAGAACTAAGAAAAACACTAAAAGAGTCAATTCCTTGGCTGATGCTCTAAAGGTCTGGATGAGGATTTTGAGGCCAGATGAGTGTCTCGTCAACTTAAACAACCTCATGATTCTTATAATCGAGAAGAACTCCAATATGTCCGCGTTTTCGACGTGCGACGCGTACTTTTGGAGAATCAAGTCGATATAAAAGCTCATGGTTGCGATGTAATCGATGATGTTGACTGAGGACTTCACAAATTCACACTTGTTGGGAGAAGATATGAATCTAACGAGGATTTCGAGGGTGAACCACGCGTTGCATACACATTCTATATAGAAAAAGGCTACGTGAGCGTTTGTTTGCACTTTGTCCAACGCCCAACCTTGCGTTTGGTTTGCGGTCGTCACTGTATAGTTCCTAATCACGGGCACTCTCATGTCTGGATGAGTTTTCAGACAGAACGATATAATAGACACGCAAATAAAAAACACTGATATCACTCCGATTATCTGAAAAGAAAAGAAAATTATTGTATACATAATATTATCATTCATTTATATCAATAAAAAATAAATGTTTCTTTATATGTATATCATCCATGCATTCCTATACTATTCATCCGATTGTGATAAAACTTGGTGAGTTTTTTCTGCGAAGGTTTCTAGCCAAAAAAAAACAGATTTTTTTCCTTGTAAAGTAACTAGTATTATATAAAACTAGCAACTCACATTCGCATTTATGAAAGTAAAATGAAGATTGGTCATTGGAAAATTGAAGGCCATCTATTACGCTCATATCTGAACACATTCTAAATGATGGACTCTGAATTCGTTTAATAGTTTTCGGGATACTATTTACAGATCGTCGCTTTAGTGCTTATTTATTCAAATCACCAATGCTTGTTGTACTTTACAGCAGAGAAATAAGAGATGTAATTTATTTGTCAATAAAAATATATACATTTTAAATTTTAGTTAGCATCAGCTATTTTTTTATGATATATGACAGATTTACTAAAATATTTTGTTTACTATAAGACTATTTGGCCAAATTGCCAAAATATTTAGAAAACTTGTGACTTGTGGACCAGAAGTGAATACCATTAACTAGCCACTATACTGTAGCAGGCGGTAGTAGCCCAGTGGTAGCGCGCTCGCTTGGGAAACCGACTGACGTGAGTTTAAGTCCCGGATCACGCATCTTTGATATTTTCAACATGATTTCCGCTTGTCGTACAGTGAACGGTGAAGGAGAACATCGTGAAGAAGTGAAGAAACCTGTGTGTCTGAGAGAACCTAGCAAGTTTTCGAAAGACATGTAAAGCTTGCCAACTCGCTCTATATGATAGAAAGCCAATGTCCAACAATGGGATGTTAAAAAGGGCCAAATACACGAATACTACACTAGAGAAGAGTAGGTACTGTTATGTAGTCTTAATTGATATAATTTCTCAGGACTCTAAGCTTGTTAGTCTTCAAGCGTCCGAAGCAAAGTTTGGTACCTAAACAAAGGAGCTGCTGGCGGGCTTAATTGAATTGATTTACATACATTTGAATAAAAAAGTATCATCCTAGAAAGTTCATGATAATAAACACTTTGTAACTTCAAAGAGGTAGTGTTATTATTTTGTAGTAATTAAGATTTAATTTATGTAATATACTAGTATGTATTTATACTAGGTTATAATGTTGTAAGTGTTTAAAAAATATCTTTTTTCGAGTTTTATCGGTATTTTTTTATTGTATCCGTTGCTTTACAGCACAAATGGTATAGGAGGTCCCTCCCAAGTTCCTCTCTAAGGTTTTTGACGTCTCAAAGATCGATATCTTAAAAGAATGCCATACTGTATCATCAATAAATCATAATATTTATAATCTAGTAGTACAATATATATTAATCCCTCCACGATCGCGGACACACCGGCGTTAAACTTAACAATAGATTTCTTAGAAATTTACCTAATAATTTAAATACTAAAATTATAGTAATGTCTCTAAGCTGAATAATCTATAACAAAATACAAAAGAAAGTATGGGATATGCTAATATTTTTATTATTCTCATAGAAAACACAGATGTGTTTGTAATGTTTTAATTAATTCATAGAGAATATAGTATAAAATTGCATGTATGCATTCAATCCTTTTTAGCGTTCTAATGCTGGGCACAGGCCTCCCTTCAATACGAGGGGATCAGGCCATAGTCCACCACGCTGGCCAAGTGCGGGTTGGTGGACTTCACATGACTTTCGAAAAATTGTAAAGTTCTCTCAGGCATGCAATTTTCCTCACGATGTTTTCCTTCACCGTAAGACAAGTGGTATTCATGTTGCAAATAAAGCAGTGGTAGCCCAGTGGTAATGCGAAGCGGGTTCAAATTTTGGGTCTCGTACCTCTGATATTTTCATGTGCGAATCATTTCCAACATAAAATAATTACATAATATAAGATAAATTGCATTATATTATAATAATTTTTATCAGTAAGATTAATATAATATTTCATTCATAGGAATTTCTCTCATATATACAATTTCTTTCTGTTCATCATAAATATTTATTAGCCATTCAATAATTAATGAACGCGTTGTTTTTACTGTGCTAGTATTATGGATTATAATTAATTATTTATACAGATGCTGTGTTCAGATATTAAAATATTATATATAGTTCATATTTCCCAGATGGAATTTTTATTTAAATACTAGCAGAAATCTCGGCTTCACCCGCATTCTATACCCGCATTCTAAGCCCACCTATTACCCGCAATCTACAAAAATAAACTCTTTGGCTTTATGTAATACATAATATTTATATAATATTTTTTATACAAAAATACTAAAATCGCGATTAAAAAATGGGAGGTGGGGGGAGTAGGAGGGTGAAAAATACTTTACGACCATAAACAAAAAAAAGCATTAAAATCGGTCGAGCGGTTTCGGAGGAGTGCGACCACAAACACCGTGACACGAGATATTTATACATATATTAGATTAATAAATATATTTTTATTTAAATAATACTAAGTCGCTATCAAACGGGGTGTGCTTAGTTCTTTTTAGCTTAACTATTGAGATGAGGATGATGAGGATTTTGATACGATTTTCACAATAATCTTAAAAAATTAAAGAAATAATATAAACAACTCGTTTATAGATGGCCTTCGTTGTTAATAGAGGTTTCAATATCAAAAGAGGTTAATATTCATATTTATTATACTGACAAAAGCTCATAGTTGGGTCATGGCACAAAAGCTACATTTACTATTTGGTTACATTACAAAACTAGATTGGCACACGCATTTCATCAGATGAGACTTGGTAGCTAGATTTTAAGCTATAATTAGAAATCGTCCCCACAATAAGTAAATAAATAAATATGTTGGGACATTAACACACAACACCATCTAGTTCCATGGTAAGCTACGAGGATTGTGTTATGGATACCAGATAGTTGATACATTACACAATACATATTATAAATATAAACACCCATGAAAAAACAAATGAATGCCCTCAGCGGGACTCGAACCCGCGACCGCTGGCACAGCAAGTAGGATCACTACAAACTGAGCCAAACGTGTCGTCAAAATTCTCTTGATATTGGCGAAAAAAAGGTATTTACGAAAGAAAAGATAATTTTTATTCTCTTTTCTTACATAATATTGATTTGTTTTAAATAGGAAAAATGATGACCAACTTTTATTTGAAATTTGTGTCGAAACTAATCTTTTATATTATAAAGAGGTAAAGTTTGTAACTTTGTGAGTACTGAGTATGTTTGTAGGAAGTAATCTCTAGAACTACTGAACCAATTTAGATGAAATTTGGTAAGAAGTTTGATACCCTGGGAATGAGATAGGATTTTATCAAGGAAATCATCCCTTAAGAGGGTGAAAAAGGTGATGAAAGTTTGTATGTAGAATCAATGCTGAGAACTCGAGCGAAGTTAAGGTGAGTCGCTTATAAATTATAAGACTAAAAAATTCTTAAATAGTTCATGTAAACTTTCATGGCTAACTCAAAACTCCTGTGAAACTTCAATTAGATGTTAAATTAAGATAAACATTTACCATCTAGTTAAGATAAACAAATAAACGTATGTAAATAATTTTGGATAAACGTAATATAATGCTTTAAACTATACCCATAGAGAGATGAGCGAGAATGAATATACTATCAAAAATTGAAGATCTTTTTCAACATGTAGTTAGTAAACATTTCCTAGCAGATACTGATTATTTTTTATGCTATGTTAGTTAATTTTTAATCGGCTGTATATTTCTTAAAGCTACTAACAAAAATGACTTCATATATTGCACCATTAGAGTGATTTTTTTTAAAGTTATACAGGACAAGCCTTGAGGTAAACTTACATACCTATAAATTAAATAAAAAAATATGAAAATATATTCAAAAGTAGCGAAGATGACATACGCACACAAATTTACCCATAAAAAACATACAGAAAAATTAGGCCTTTATGAAGTCGATGAAAATAAAAACTATACGTAAATGTTAGTTACCTTCGCAGCGTTAGAACTATACGGTTCGTCAAATAGGGACCACATTTGAGGTTTTAGCTGCTGCCACCAGGATACTGTTCCGTTGTAATAGTCCTCTTCGAAGCCGAACTTGCGAGCCACCTCCTCATCCGAGGGTTTCTCCGTGTCCAAGTCCAGCCGATCAAGAACTGCTAACGTTTCTTGCGTATCCCGATGCTGGAACAAAGGTTCAATTTAAGTTGGACAATAATAATTATTTGTCGAAAAAAGATTCATGATATGTGTATGGGTGCTGAGTTATGAAGGATCACTACTTACTTTCTTAGATTATACTTTTTAGATTTACGCAAATATTTATCATCTATAAATACATATATAAAGCATAGTCGAGTTTGTTACGACACTTGTAACTCGAGAACTGCTTGACCGATTTTTATGATCTATATTTTGTTGGATTTATCTTCACCCCGAATAGCAGGATAACTATTAAAATATCGGAAAATTCACAAAAAAAATCCATATATACTAGGCGTCAAAATGTACCCAGGAACGTAAACGAAGCGAGGGTGAGTCGCTAGTTTTAAATAAAACTATGTTTTTTAATTATTTCTCGAATTTATTTAGATTTTTGGTTCCCGACGTTTCGAATTCTTTACAGAAGTCTCTCCCATAACTATGATTGCTGTAAAGCATTCGAAACGTCGGGAACCAAAAATCACTACTTTTAAGAAAGTGGCCGCAAAATCGACCATAATTCTTTAAGGTTGGGACGTAAAGGTTTTTTCTTTGGAATATTAAACACGAAAATACATCAAACATCAACATACAGCCTTTATATTTAAACAAAAAAGTAATTTTAGGCTAGATTGTGAAGTACAAAGCATTATATTTTCAGTTTCTAAGCTTTATAGAACGATCAGATGTCACTTCAACGTTGAATAACGAACGTGTAAGCATGAATACCCTCTTTTCATATTTGAAGTATGAGAATATTTCGTATTTTGAAATATTTTTTTCATGATGAAAGTTAATATGTCTTTAAAATGCAGGAACACGCCTAAAGTCTTATTTTTAATAAGTTTCTTTTGATATTTGCTGTTTTTAAAACGCTTATATAAATTGTATCTGTATGTTAGACTCTATTTATTGAAGAATACAGATTACCTTTATAACTTTGAACTGAAATGAACCTAATTACGTTCAAATATAATGAATTAGGGTTGATTTTCGACCATGGGTCCAAATCTATACTAATATTATAAAGGGGTAAAGTTTGTGAGTTTGTTAATTGTGAGTTTGTGAGGTTGTAGAGGGTAATCTCTGGATCTACTGAACAAATTTAGATGAAATTTGGTAAGAAGATAGTTTGAGACCCTGGATAGGACATAGGATACTTTTTATCCCGGATATAATCTCTTAAGGGAGTGTGGATGAAAGTTTGTATGGGGAATCAACCTAGGGACGAATCCGAGTGAAGCGAGGCTGAGTCGCTAGTAAATACATAGTAAACATATAGACGTAATCAGTTGGGTTTTAATACCATATAAAATATTCAACCGACGTTATTAATTTTCAATCAGTTCTTTTGATTCGTCGCCGGTTCTCCGCAAAACCGTAAAATATGTACATTTATTTCGGAGCTCGGACACAGATTTAATTTTCAAAACATTTTCCATATGAATTATTGCTTGTTGTCGAATATTTGTATAGCCTCGTTATGAAATAAATTTTAAAATATTCGACTTACGGTTTCATATAAGAATTGACTAGTTAAGAGTATTTATGACTTTCTATATTCACTAGCGACTTACCCTCGCTTTGCTCGGGTTCATTTGCTTGCTTCCCAATACAAACTTTCATCCCCATTTTTACCTCTTTAAGGAATGCTTTCCAGGATAAAAATATAAAACAATATCCTATGTCCTTCCCAAGGTCTCAAACTATCTTCTTACCAAATTTCATCTAAATCGGTTCAGTAGATCCAGAGATTACCCCCTACAACGTCACAAACTTTGCCTTTTTATAATATTAGTATAGATTATTAATAAATAATAAATAAATATGTTGTTGGGACATTAAAACACAGCACCATCTAATTTCATGGTAAGCTACGAGGCTTGTGTTATGGATACAGATAGTTGATACACTACACATGTATAACTTTAAATACATACATATTATAAATATAAACACCCATGACTGGAGTACAAACATTCGTGCTCATCACACAAATGGATGCCCCCAGCGGGACTCGACCCGCAACCGCTGGCACAGCAAGTAGGGTCACTACAACTGAGCCAAACGTGTCGTATTGGAAATACATTATCTATATTATATAAATAGGCAGATATCAAAACAGTTCAGTGCCATTTTCTCCTTTGTTTGTCAACTGATTATCTTTTTTTTGTTTAGTCGCTATTGTGTTATCAATAGTACGCATTTTAGTGATATCAATAAAATAATTTTTAAAATCAGTTTTTTTAAACTATAGATAGGTAAATTCTATTCAAATATCATGTTTTCCTTAAACTTTATAGTAGAAATGGTCGAGTAGTATGAGAAATAGGGTAATATGATAAATAGTTTTATAAGGAACCAATGTAACAGATTCAACCGGATATGCGTGATTGTTGTTTGATTCTTTGTGCAATAGCTAACATTAATATAGGTATAATTGTAAAAAAAAAATTAGTATTTGTTTTTCAAATGTCATACCGAGATGGATACTCTAAGTGCCCCTCATTTCAAGCGATTGATGTCAAAGTATCAAACATTCGGTTTGAACAATGGCGTTGCGTTTAAACTACTTTAAATTTTCCATCTCCATTAGCACTTTTTAATAATTATTTTCCTAATCAAAAAGAAATTACATAAAAAAATATTGATATAAACTTAATTTAAAAGCAATAAATATTATAAAAGAAAAATTTCACCTTTATTTAAATCACACGCATATTCCCTATTCATAAGACATCGAGGTTTTTCTTAAGAGTACTGAGTAATTTTCTAAAATATATCTTTCTAAAGTCATTCAAAGAGTATCTCATTATGCTCGAAAGAAATTGATGAATACGTTTCTGATTTACACCTGCGAATGTAGGTCAAAATATTCTTTTAGATTCTTTCAGATGTCGTTACCGGTGTCTACATATGGATATTTAATGATACCATTAAACGAGATAATCTACGCTAAATTATCTAAAATATAATATACACACAAGATCGATTTATCGCCGCCGAAACCCCTGTATACGTAGGTGCAAGATCAACAATCACAGGTGCCCTGTCACGAACCTGGACACTTGTGATTGTTGATCTTGCACCTTGGCCGCTTGACCACGATGCTTACACCAGAGCGCGCAAATTACGGACCATATTTTGTGTGGAATAATGCAAAAGAAAACTGCATGAAAACTCGAAAAGACGCGTTTTCTCAAATATAAGACTAATCTAGATCGATTTATCGCCCCTGAAACCCCCCGTATACTAAATTTCATGAAAATCGTTGGAGCCGTTCCCAAGATTCAGATCAAAAGAAGAATCAGATTCAGAGAATATATATATATATATATATATATATATATATATATATATATATATATATATATATATGCTTGTTTAAAGATAAATATAGGATATCGTCGCCTTAGTGCTAACTTGTTTAAACTACTACATAATGGTACTTGGTGTACTTTACCGTAGAGATTTTTTTCTATCTTTTAAAAACGGAGCTTTATTTCTAAAATTTATATCCGTGGATAACCAGCTATCATCACCAAATTTCATCAAAATCTGTCTAGCGGTTTTCTCGTGATGTGGTTTTCTCGTGATGACTGTTTCAATAAGATTTTCCAAAATATGTTGAATGTACAGATTCGACTCAGAATTTTATTATATGTATAAACCTATCAAAAAAGTTACTCTCCACCGTTATCATACAAAGTGCCATCATCGATATAATATGTTACACCACGTCCCCTAGTAAAATGATATTTTTTACGACTTACATCATATGTTATTTTTATTATATCTCAGTTTATTCAAGCTATATTCCATTTACTATATGAAATTTTCGAAAATTTGTTTTTATGGAGATACAATATGGGGTTTGGAGATAAGAGATACCTATATAAGGTTTTTTTTGATTTAATTATAATTTATCATTTAAATTACGTTTTAACGTTTAGTATAGGTTTTGTCAGAAATGAGTTATTTTTCCGCAGTAAAAAGTGCCCTATATGTTGACCCGAACAATCAGCTATCAATGGTGATAGCTGATTGTTCGGGTGACTGTGTATGGACACAATTTCATCAAAATCTCTCCAGTGGTATATCGTAATGCGGCCACAGTGAGACATACAGACAGAAAAAAATTCTAAAATCTATAGATTTGGCCTCTGTATCGATAATAATGACTATTTCAGTAAAATTTTCCAAAAAATATTCACTTAGAATTTTATTGTATGAACAGATAGATTAATTATTAAAAAACAATGTCGGTAAAGTAATACCCAAACCATCCAATATGATTTATGAATAAACATCATTTAAAATGCGCCGATAAACTATATCATGAAAATATGATTTAAAACGCGTACATATGTGTGTATATATATACATTTTTTTTTTCATATTCATTTTGGTTTCATATTTGGTGTAAGGGTTTTTGGCTCCTTAAATATTTTCGTGATATAAAAGCGTTCATAGATTCAACGTTGATGTGTAACAGAAATTAACCTGAGATTACTATTATATATTACTAGCAGAACCCGCGGCTTGGTTCGCGCTAAAACTACAAAAAAATCTCTAAAAAGGTAGATTTCATACAAATTTTCATCCCCTATTTTACCCCCTTGTGGGATGAATTTCAAAAAATGTTAAATTACTTATTTAATTGTATTGAAGTGCATTAATACCAAGTTTCAAGTAATTCTGATCATAAATATTTTTTTGGTTTGTATTATAACGTGTATTCCCGATACACAATATTCCGACGGGAATAAGATAATCTTCCGCGGTAAAAGTAGCCTATACCACTCTCCAGCCTTCCAACTATCTTCACACAAAAAATCACGCCAATACGTCATTACGTTTGACGTCAAAAAAGGAAAAACAAACAAACAAATAAATAAACAAACAAACACACTTTCAAATTTATAATATTAGTATGGAAATTAAAATATACAATAGCAGCAAAAATTTGAATAAAAAAGACT